GCCGCGGGGAGCGGCCCCCGACGTGGTGGACGCAGCCGGGAGGGAGCCCCCGGCTCTTGGGTGGCCGCCCCGGCTCAGCCCTCGCCCCCCTCCTCCTCCCGCGCCCCTTGGCACGTCCTCCAGGACCACCGCCGCCCCGAGTGCCGCTGCCTTGCCAAGCGGCGCCTGAGCCCTGGGCTCGGGAGAAAAAATGGGATCCTAAAGGCCCGAGGGACCGCCACGGCGCCCCTAGGCGTAAGGTCAAGCCTCGCCATCAGCCTGGGGAGCATCTCCCCAGCCCCACTTTTTTCTAATCAGCTTCTTCGTTGGCACAATTGTCAGAGAGCCGCCCCCGAGTTGTGCTGCGGGGACGAGGTCTGGTAGCACCTCCAGGCAGCGGGACCCTCGCCTCGGGCAGGGCCATCCTCGCTGCAGAGCACGCTTCAGTGCTTTAACGCCCTGGGCGGTTTTCGTTGCACCGTGTCCTTCAGTAAGTGTAAGCAGGAAAATGAAAAGTAATGTGATCAATTATTATTTTTACACCATATTTATGGACTGGTAGAAGTAATAACAGTTATTTACTTTGTCGAAGCGTTTATTTCACACTCAGTATATTTCCTTACAATCGGAGAACCGACGTGGGAAAAATAAGCACAAATAAATTAAAGTAACGAAAATACGTTTTTAGCAAAAGGCGATTCTTCTCCTATCTAATTTTCCCGGGTGCGTTTCTTCCTCCGACATTAATTCAAACCAATGAAACGTCTCTAAGCCCTCAAGTCAAGCAGGAAGCAAAATAGTAATCTACTGTCCCCTTCATAAAAAAAAAAAAACACCACTTTTTTTTTTTTTTTTTTTTTATTGGGGATAAGGAACAATCAAAAAGCAAAGCAGCCAGAAGGGCAGGAACCCGGGCGGGCCTCTCGAGGGTACGCCCCGGTACCCCTGTTCTCCTCCCTCCCTGCCCGGGTTGCTGGGTATCGTGTCGTCTCCTCTCGTCGGCGCAGGGCTGCGGGCTGCTTTAACCCCTCCTGCCCTGCCTTTGTCCCTTTTGAGTCTGGTTAGCTTCTCTAATTTGTTAGCAGCACTTCGGCTGCCTCCATCCAGCCCCCAGTGCAATCAGGGGAATGATGCCAGGGCCAAGGAAATAGGCGCCGTCCTGGGATTCCACAGTCATGGTAGTAGCTCTTTCACATGCACATATCGCACACATCGCGTACATCGCATACATCAGGGTCACCTCAGCGAGGGAGACAAGGAAGGGCGGTGGAGAGGAGAATTTTAAAAAGATACAATTCTTCTCTGTGTGTCAAGGATTTCAAACAGAATAGTGTGCTTGATACCAAGGTAACACTTCCCTATTGCCTGCTCTTGATCTTCTTTGAATTGCTTCGTTTCCTATATTCCAGCTATTTATTTTATGGCCAGAGACTGTGTGCAACAGTGCCACAGGTTGGGTGACCCGTTCTAGCAACGGGCAAGAGAAAAAACGACTCCTGGCACTGCCAAGGTCGCCAGGGAACGCTCTACAGCGGGTTGCGTGACGGCTCCGTTTGTCCCGCCCAGACGGAGCTGCCGCACCTCTCCGCGACGGGGCCGCCGCTCCGGAGCTGCCCTGGCCGGGGCCGGGCCCGGGGTCCCGCTCCGGGCTGAGAGCGGGGCTGGGAGCTCTCTGACCCGCAACCTGCGCTTCTGTAACCACCCCTTCTTCCCTCCTCCCCACCCCCTCCAGTTGCTCCTCAGGTAAAGCTGACACTTCTTATGGACCAAGGTACCTCGCTGCTGGATCTGCCGGGGCAAGAGCAAAAACCCTGGAGAGGACAGGGCAGCCCATCGATCTGTACAGATGCTATTTTTAAAAAATGCGAGGTTTTGTCTTAGCCTATAAATCCTCTGTGAAACGTGCAGTCTCCCATCTGTTTGGGGTAGCACCGTGCTGCCCTTTTCCCTAGCCACCTAGTCTTTGTTCAAGTGCCCATAAGCAATACATCAGACAGTATTAGCTGGATTCAGAGCTTTCAACATTTTCCTCTCTGTGCTGTGGTCGGAGCTGCCTCCCAGGTGAGGTCCCACCAGTACCGAGATACCTGTTGCCAGTGTGCTTCAGGGCCCCAGCCTTGTGCCCTAACCCTGAAGGACAGGGAAAAAGGCCAGAGACAAAACTCAACACTTGGCTGGGCCACCACCCCAGCCCTGCAGACCCCTCCATGCAGCACAGCCCTCCCTGTTGCAGCACAGCCTGCTCATGACTTGCATCCCCCAGGGAACCTATAGGGATGATGTTGCACAGGCTTCTTAATTTCTGTCCCTGCCTGCCCTTCAGTCCACCTTTCCAAGGCCCACAGAGCCAGCTGATGTGGCTGGAGGGGTCCTCTGTTCTCTCAGGAGATACAGGCCATGAGAGAAACATGGTAGCTGGAGGTATTTTTATGTTTACAGTCCTGAAAGAAAGAACAGAAAAAGCGAGGATGATACTTGTCCTTGAGACACACAAGAGTTCTGGGGCTACTTTGGCACAGGGTTATTGCTTGAGCAGCTCTACCTCTGACAATAGTGCACTTGGCACTTACATAAAGTGCTTCCAATCTGTGAGCCAGTTAATTCTCCTGGTAGCTGTCTGAGATTATAGCCCTATCTTTCAGACAAAGTAAGGCAGACAAGTTAAACCTCTATAAAGTTTATAGCCACAAATCACGTACTTTATTTTTTTTTTTTTTTCCTGAAGTGAACTACTTTAGTTGAGTTAGACAGATTACTTTGTATAATAATAAACCATCTGAAAGCTACTGGGAAGTTTCCAACGTATGAAAAATGGCAATCTTATTTAAACTCTGGGAAAGATAATTGTTTGCCCTTGCTGTATGTTTTACATTCTTGAAGTGTATCTTTTAAGGCATAATATACATTTTGAAATCCCATATATGCACCTTTACAATAGTAATGGCTTTCCACAAGCTCCGTGGGAGGTGACATTTCAGCAAGATACTTCCCCTTGACTTTGTTTATTCCAGCAGTTTAAATTCTACCTCTGGTGATAGCTGTTAACTTGGCAATGTGAAAAGTGCTACATGATGTGTACTGTGCTCAGTCAGCTCATCAGAAGCTTACCAATTATGACTGTGGAGCCCATTCTTCCTGCCACAGCATGCCACCCACCATGCATACCCGGGACAGCTGATCTTCACATGTGCATAAAATCTGAAAGTATGCACACATTTACACAGAGCCTGTGCAAAGCAGGCACAGTAAGCCTGGTGCTTCTTAGAAGCCTTTTTCTTTCCTGCAATAGCTCACACAGAGGCAGTTGTAGATCATTTCTTGCTCCCTGCCTGTCTTGGAAATGTCAAAGAGGAGCTTTTGAACTCCACCCTGGAAGTGGATGAGATTTATACCTGTCAGGCAATCAAGATGTCTGTGTTTTGGGCAGAGGATCAAAATTGTCTGGGTGGCTGTGAAATAGGAGGTTGCAGCTATTAGGATTATCCATCTCACCTATGGCTTGGTTGCCATCCACATCTTTGAGGTGCTTGGGAAAAGAGGTAGCTGGAAGATTGTGGACTCAATTGAATCACTGAAATATGCTGGAATGGCCTGTGAGTTGTCCACCTCTGCATTATGAAATAAAGAACTTTGTTAACAAAAGCTTTTGCAAGCCTATTTCCTCAGGATGAAATCTGATCTCTGTTTAAGGTCTCTTACAGACATCAGCAAAGCAAGATTTAATTCTAGACAGATGCTATTTGTCAAGCACATGGGGAGTGTTTGAGCTTCAAAAATAGTGCTACCTTTGAGCATTCATTTTTGTTTGGAACATCCAACTGAACATACAGAATCCAGATTGGGCTTTTTGTTAAGCCATGATTTGCACTTATCCAGAGATATTGTTTTTCTTTATTTTGAAGCAAGTATTTATGAAGCAATTTAGTGCCAGACTCTGTCACCTTTGACTGTAGTTTCTTTTGCATCAGCTAAAATAGAAGTAACTCTGTTCAAGTAAGCAGAGTAACACTAGTGAAAAACCAGAATAAATAATCAAAGAATCAAGCCCTTTGAATAACAAATGAGTCCATAAATAGTCCCATTGATTTCAGTGGTATTTTATGGCATAAGTAGCTACATTAATGGAAACAGCATATAAGACCCTTAGTACTTGGACAGAGAAACAAAAAGAACTAATAATTATTAAAAAAAAAAATTATTCCATGGTGCATTAGTCAATTGACATGTTACTAGCTTATGGTATGACTTACCAAAGACCGAATCAAGTGAGTTGATGACAGGGATGACTCCTTTGGTATCTGCTATGACAATTCAACACATCCGCAACATGAAAGCTGTGCCCCTTATTTAAAAAAACCCAGAAAGCAAATAAAGCCATGCCAGTGAAAAGGTTTCCATCACCCTTAAACAAATGCTTCTTTAAGCATGAAAGAACAATGTTTTAGTAAATGGAGTTGCCCCTTTTTGGGAGGTTTATGGACAGTATCTAAATATGAGAATGCCATAATGTGGTCTCCCCTGGATCTATCGCTCTGGATGACTTGGAAAAAATTCTTTTGGTTGCTTTTCCTTGAAATCTAGTAAAGAACTAAGTGAAGTCCAAACATGCTTTCTTAATTATGTTTCTTTGGCTAAACACATTTTTTTAAAAAATAGAGAAGTGTTCTCTGCAAATGTTTTGCAGCATCTTT